GAAGGCGGTTGTGGACGATACTGACAGCGAGGATGACTTCAACGCTTCGTTCAAGGCGGCCAAGACTCCGCTCTGCTTCAAGCATGACACGCACTCTCTCACTGCCACGTCCACGCCCCGTGTCTAGTGAAAGTACCAGTTTGTTGTCTAAGCCTTGGTCACGGATACAATGAGCTTGAGCCATTGCCCTGAGCCACCCTGAAAGCAATCCGCTGATTTAATTTGTTGACTTGAATTGGACGCAGGCAACGGGTTGCCGGCTCCAGTCGAGTACTGGCCTTTGCCAAGGATCTCTCCAGACAGGACTTTCACCATTCAGATGTCAATCCCTTACCTTCAGCTCCGACCTCCCGCCAGGAAGGCGCGCTCCGTTTCACATATGTGGATGAGCTGCATTTTGTGGTTATTGAGCAACCGTGCGTGAAAGTCAAGGTTTGTAGTTTGTAGTTTTGTATTCTTGTTGGATTCAGGGCGCACAAAGTGAAGTTCTGGCACCGTATGTTGGAGTTCATGGCGCCAAAATTCGAGTTTTTGCGCATGCTGGTCTTAGGTTTTTTTTGCTCACGGCTGGCAAATGATTTGCATTTTAATGAGTTAGTTGCTGGATTGATGTATTTCACTTGGCTGGTTGCAGTAGTGCTTGCGCAAGTGTGTTCTTTGGCTAGGCCAGGAAGCGCCGGAAGGAGGCCCCTTCCATGCCCGAAAAGTCTGACGAGAAAGAGATGACCCTTCTGAGCCGACCATCGTTTTTTACTCGAGCAGAGAGTAAGCGCATGCAGTTTGACCCAATGCCACCCAAGTCTATGGGTGGCAAGATGGTTAGCGGCCTCATCAAGCCTGACGAGAAGGGTGCTGCCAAATCGAATCGTTCAAGCGGTCTCGTTCCGGAAAGCCTCCCCACCAACATGAATTCGCATTTGCTTAGGTGATTTGACAATCGCTTGAGCACCTTGCGGAGTGATTTTGTGGCGCTGGGAATGGCAACCTGTGGGCCTTCAGTTTTTCATGTACTGTGATACCTAGGCTGACAAGGTGTTAACTCAACTCAATGTTAGTTGGCTGGTTGATTAGTTGATTTCCACTTTTGCAAAGTGTGTGCGCACTGACTTCTTTGTTGCTGCTTTGAGGCGGGTGTGTAGACACAACGGGCCATTGATAAATGACTCAATAACTCATGACCCACTTGACCAGTGACCGTCTAGGTTGAGGTCCCAGCGTCAGTGCGCAATCTGTTGCGCCACCCGCAGACTCTGACAACGTTGGTAATGCGTTGGATGTCTGCATGGTAATCGAGTCATGGCGAGGCATTGCGCCGTCTTAAACATGATACAACACATTTTGCTTGCTGTTCAGTTAGCCGTAACGCAAACAGTAGCAGGTGGTAGCGCGTCAGGGACGTGATCGCCTTTCTTGGTCTTTCTTTGTGTTTTAAACAGAAAGGTTGCTTTTGTGACAAGCTGATGTGAGGGTTCGGAGCCTCACGCTTGAATTGCATGTGCCTCGCCGTGGCCGAAGCCTCACAGGCGATGCAAACTGCTTCGCTCACCGCTGGAAACGACAAGGAAAACAGCCTGCAGCAGTACCATGTTGGGCGGCAGACATTTTTCAGTTTGGACACGTGCCATTGCAAAGAATTGCGCCATTAGGTTTGCTCAAAGTTTGCTGACTGTCTTGCTGAGGCCTGTGGTGACTCTTCCACTCGCAGTGCGTACTGAATCTACTGAATTTGATGCATTTCAGGCATTTGATGATTTGATCAATCGATCAATCATTGTGTCACAGCCTGTCGCAAACACAGAGTATCAGCCGCTGTGCGCCAAAAACACCGGATAACTGCCGGACAACTCCGCCGGCCGGACAACTTTGATTTTTTTGGAGCTGGTGGAGAGGGACACGAGTGCTTTGATGCTGTGTCAGGCTGTGTCAGGCTCACTTATGTTGCGTGGAGATCTAAATCAGGCCCAGTCAGTTGTCGCATTTGGGGGAGCTGCGCTGTGTAGTGCGCTCTAGAGTGATGTCTTGCAAGCATGACACTTACAAGGTCACTAGCTTTGATGCAGACTTGAGGACATGAACACCACAGCAGCGCAAGAAGTTTTAATCTCACACAGTTTGTGCGCCCCCCTTTCCCCCCCCACCAGCCAACGGACATTACAAACAAACAAACAAACAAACAAACAAACAAACAAACAAGCAAGCAAGCAAGCAAGCAAGCAAGCAAGCAAACACACACGCAATCACACAATCACGCAATCACACAATCACACAATCACACACACACAATCACACACACAAGCACACACACACACACACACACACCCGCGCGCGCGCGCGCCCGCACATGCCCTTACATGTAGCACGCTCACACACGCCCACACACGCACCCTGGCGAACACACACACACACACACACACACACACACACACACACACACACACCACACAGGCACACAGGCATACACACACAGGCATACACACACCACACACACACACACACACGCGCACACGCACACAAGCTCACAACCACACACACACACATACCTCTTCTGAGCTGCAAGTTGGTCGTTCCCGAAGACTGTGAAGTGAAGCCAATGCCAAGTCCATTGAATCATGCGCAACTGAATGCATGGTTCTAAAGGTCGGTTCGGGGACTTTAGAAAATGAAAGCTCGCGTAGCCAGGGCTCGTCTTCTTGTGCACATAGCCTCGGGCGGTGAAGGTGACTGCCAAGGGACTCACAGGATGCTTGAGCAAACGAAGAAGCAGGGACTAGGGACTGGGCTGAGAGCGGGGATGGGGGGCACATTCCTGTTCTGGAAGTCATCCCAAAGTCCTGAATGCTCCCAAGACCTCCATGCCTTACCCAGTCCTTGCTTCTTTGTTGCTCAAAAAAGTGACTCTTGTTCTGCGGTCCCCGGGAGAAGCTAAGCCGGGCTTTGACATGCCCATGTACGGAACCCCGTTTCACTCAGCTTGAAACGTTGAAGTAGTCTCGTTAGAACTTGCATCTAATTGTCCACTAGCCGCCAGATATTTCCTGGGTTTGCGCGCAGGCACCAACGAAAACAAGGCTGGGCGCTCTGCCGGGGTTGCTTATACCTGGGGTTCCGAATATTTGTTCATGAGGGCCAAGCTCGGTTTACTTCGAGGTGAGCTTGTTATCAGGGTCGAACAACTCACAACTCACACAACCACAACAAAAGCACAAAACAACAAACAAGCAAACAAGCAGGCAGGCAAGCAAGCAAGCAAACAACTTGAGACACAATGTGCACAAATCAGAGGTTGAAGACACCACACAACAGGGTTCCTTACATCTCCTTAAGCTTCGCCCTGCCAACATGAAACTCCTTTTGAATCCTAAGGTGACTCTAAAGGCAACGTTCAAACCAACCAAACAGGAAAATACAACCAAGATGGTACACACCCACTCCCCTCAAATCACTAACACCGGGTTCCAGGGTTCTTTTGAAGCGCTAGCACCAAAAGTAAGGTTTAAATCAAGCAGAATGCAAATTCCTTCAGTGTCCCTTTAGGGCAGGGGTGTTTGTTCAAGGGTATTCACAAGAGTCCTTTTTAAGCAGTGCGGCAGTGCGGCTTGCTCGCATTAACCGTCGCACTGCAGGGAAGTTAAGTCTTCTGGGTAACCGCGGAACCAAAACCGCAGTAGTACGAAACCGTATTGAACAGCACCGCAAGCCCAAAGCCACAAGCCGCACGGAAGCGTACCACAGAACCGTGGACCTGGAACGGTACCACGAAAGCGCGGAACGGTACCACGACCCGCCCTGGCAATGAAAGGGGAAATTGTTCTCCCGAACAAACCGCGCCGAGCCACGGAAGCTGGGAGCCTCTGCTGGAACCTCTGGGCGAGCGCCTCAGGAAGTCAGAGAGAAGCCCACTGGCTTAGACACGTCACCAGGAACAAAAAGAACATATGGAACCACCTTTCAATATGCAAACACCTTTTAATCTTGGACGTCAAGAACTACACGCGAGCAATATGACCTGTAAAAGGGACATATAGAAGAACATAGAAAGGACATACAAGGACCCTGACTGCTACCCCTGCGAGGAGAGGCGTCCAGTTTCTCCAACATCGGTTGCTCGTAAAAAGGGTCGATTCGTGAATGATGAAGTGGCCATTGGAAAAAGGGCACCCTTTTTGGTGGCAGTTGACTTGAAAGGCCAGCGGCATCCCAAAAGATGTTTAAACGGGCACGGCTGCGAAACAACCAGTAGGGTAATTTAATTACTCCCAACGTGGATCCATGGTCAAACACCGATGGGTTGCTACAATACATGATGTTACATGTTGGCCTCAGCCACAATGAAACGAAAACAGCACAACAATTGGGGGTTGCGCAAAAAAAAATATCCTGAAAACTGCCCTTCCGCCGCCCTTCCGCGAACCTTCCGCGCATGCCCGCACCCAGTGTAAATCTACACACAAGTGATCACTGTCTGTCGGCCAATCTTTACGTTGCTGTTGAAATCTGGAGAAAGGCGCAGCCACGAACCATGTTTGAAAGGTCATGAGCTTTCCGAGTTGGTGGAGATGAAGCTGGTGCCAAACGCAATGCATCGCGCAAGGTCATGGACGTAACCGCTTTAGGGCGAAGGGGAAGGAACGAGCTGCCTGGACAGCGAAACTTCCGCGCAAAATAGTTTGTTTTTGTGCTTGCTTTTATTGGAGCTTGTTTTTAAGATTTTTTAAGCAAACAAAAGGAACTGTGCTGCTTGTTGCTGCGTTTCCCGCTGCTTTGCTTTTTGAAACCGGTGCACTGAAATTTCAATACATATGCACACAGTGCGAAGCTCATGCCATGTAAGCCTGGAAATTCGGAATACTAAACCGAATACCGCACGACGCCCAATTGAAACAAATGGTTTGAGACCAGTCCGCAGAATGCTGAACCTTATCTAAACCAGGATTGTTTCAGCAACCTCTCTCTCGTTTCCGTCTTAGATTGGGCCAGGATATGCTTGTAAACCAACTCTGTCAATCCTGCTCCTCCGTCATTTCGAGGCCACGGCTGGCGTCCTCACGTCGCGCCAGCTCCTCCTGACGCCCATCCCAACATGAGGATGCCTGCAGTCATACCCACCCCCCTGCCTGAACCTGCGAGGGGCTCAATATACGGTCGTATTATGGCTGAGCCAGGGTGTTGTGAAAGGCATAGCCCTGGCATCGCAGAAAGGGCGATTCTCGCAATGCTGATGTCAGATTTTCACCATCCAGAAAAATTGGACTTCTAGATTTTGGCAGCGAACACGCAAATAAATGACTCTTGGAACGGGTGCGTCCTTAGCATGGGGCGGCCCACATTCGAATGATTGAGTGGAACCCAAAGGAACCCCCTTTTTCCCAACATCAGACCTTTTTAGGCAAAGTTGCGGCACGTATCCCTGTCGCACACACACACACACAAAACACCTTTTCCTTGATTCGTCCGTGCTACTTCGGGGGGAAGCTTCTGAAAGTGAGTTGGAGTGAACGAAACAAAAGAGCCCCTTATCGACCGTAGTCATTCATCATTGATGAACTGTTCTTTTGTTTCCCATTTCCTCCTTTTCAATGTCACACATGTTGAGCGAATGCCAGGCGAAGTCTTCTTTGATCCATGACGCCACACTTGCCCTTGGAACCGCAGCTTACTTGCCCAGCCCGGCGCGCATGCATGTTCCTTTCGCGGCTGGCTTGAACTTGGTTGCTGAAGATCCAACCCAATAGCAGTCAAGTGCAAAGGAACCCGACGAAGGCTTTGCCCAATGATTTGTGGAGTTGATTCCACAAGCAACCCCAACAGGGCCTTGCCCTGCCTTCCCCCCCCAAACAAAAAACACACGGAAGACCAAGCACTCTCAAGAGTTCCATGGCATCTTAAAGCACCTGCAGTTTCTCTTGCTGGTTCCCCATAAGACTGTCCCCTGAAAGCAAGCTACAAGGGAAGGAGCAGTTTGGGGACATCCCGTCATTCCAGGAACATGCCCAAGAAAATGGTTCCAAGGCAATTGTGGAAACCGCTAACCATTCAAGCCAATAACTTTCCTATTTCCTGGTTGCCCATGGCTGTGATACGAAGTGGGTCATACAGTAGTCAGTGGTCGGGCCCACTTTGGTGCTATAAAGAAATGATTTTGCAGCTGATCAAGGCCGTACTCCTGCTTCCGGAAAACCCATCTTCGCGATAAAAGCATATCATTCACAATTTTTGGTGACTCCATCGCCACGCCCTTTGTTTGCAGCGTGCGCTCTGGGGCCATTTTGGCTCTTGGAGTTAGGCTTCAAGCGCAGTAAACAGGTCGAGCAGCTCACTTGCGCTTGCAGGCTTGCTGCAGTGCTAAATGCAAGCATGGGCTTTCGCCGGTCTTTCGCGGATCTTTCGCAAAGCTTGCTCCAAACTCGCCCAGCTAACGTTTTGGTTTGCACCACTCACAGCACAAACAGAGGCTCAACTTGGGCGAAGAAAAAAAACGCTCTTTCGCGAACTCCATCGCCGATGGAGAGAAGAGGGGTGTGTAAACCAACACTAATGGTCACCGAACGATGGCATAACTCCCTGCAAGGTCGTTTTGATCAAATTCCCAATCGCGAGCAAGGCGCTGCATGGCTTCGGGGCCAACTTTTGGATGAGCTTGCGACAAAGCATGACAAAGCGCCTGTTTTTACGCCTCCAGCCAGGTAAGCGGATTCTTTGATTGTGCTGTTGGCACCGTGTAAACGCGGCCACCAGTCACCGATTCGGATGCATGGGGCTTTTCAGTCCCAGGGGGGGAAATTCCGCGCGAGGCCGTGCTGCCCCGTTGGTTGCAGCCGACCGGCTTGGCCCATTCCGCTCCTGCAGCAGGGCCAGGCCCTCCCGGAGCTCCGCGTCGCTCAAGCGGTGAACATCGCGCAAGCGAGCGACCCCGGAGCGCGGGGACGCGTCAGGTCCTGCGGCAAAACCCCGTGAAGCAGCACCCCTGCAAGGGAAGCTCATCTTACTGCGGTAAACCAACAAGCTCCAGGTGGTATCCCCAACTAGAACCCTCTCCAACCCTCCCTGAAAGCTGCTCCGACTCACTCCGGAGCCTATTTGGGCAGAGACATCAATCAGAGCTTTCAGCTGTTGAAAAAACAAGCGGATGGGGTGCAGGTTCCATGTTTGGAGGATCTAAGCATCCCCCAACATCGGAGCTAACATACTTGCACTGCTTCCTTTCCCGGTCGAAGGAGTCCTGATGGCAGATCCGTCTAACCCAGCGGAAGCTCGAGACTCCCATACCCTCCCCCCACCCGGAAGGGCCCGGAAGTTTGGATTTGTTTTACGGTTCTGACAAAGCCATTTCTCCGAGAGGAACAATGAACAAGGCTAGAGGGCGCCATCAAACTGGGATGGATCAAGACTAAATCGCCCTAACACAATGTTTCTGACAGCCCAAATTGACCAGATGTTCTACGTGATGAGAATTTCTCGTCGTTAGGGTGAATTATAACTTTCGGATTACTCGGAGGACAATGCTCATCAGAGGGATCAAACCAAAAATGTAAAATGTGATTAGCAAACACAACAACACTTCTGATTAGCATCATCCTCTGCATGCATTCGAAGTCAACATACTATGGGGGCAACACGCTCGCGACTGATTGGTAGAAATAACTCCCCATTCAAGCAATGGCGCATTGCACTCTTGGGACGCGACACAAGTTCTATTCCTAGACGTTCTTTCCTCTATGGGGAGGCTTGTTGCGTCCCTGCATGGTCCAAATTAAGGGCAGGCGGCCTAAGGCGGCAACCCCTCCCCCAGCAATCAGACGAGTCTCCTAAGAATCCATTGTAGGGGTCTCGGCCTTATGGGAAGGCAAGTTTGGACCGAAAACAACAGCAGGTTTGAGCTCCCAAGATTCTTGGAGTGGTATGAACATCCGATCAAATACAGGGTTGCCCAAGCCGTTCTCAAAGAATCACCCCTTAAAAGATACCTGGGCAAAAAACGAGCATGTGTCCAGTGAGTGATAGACTCTCTTCAAAACATCTATCTAGGGGAAAATGAACCAGTTATCAAGGAACTGACGATTTGGTCCACCGTATCTCGGTAAATTGCAACAACTCCGCGGGATCCCCGCCAGTCCGCTGAGTCCGAGCCAGGTGAGGTCGCGAGGCCCAAAGCTGGCGGAAAGGCCCCGAGTGGACCCGAGAACAAGGCGAAGGAATTGTGTCGCATGGCGCCTGAAGGGACCCGGATTCTCGATTTCCTCAAGGGACTCACCGTCAGGTGCCATGTTGGAGGGTAACCTTTCAAGACCTGGACTTTAAATGGACGCCAACAGGTTAAAAGGTCGGATACAAAAGGTCGGATAACAAGTCGAACCAACATTGCAAGAGCAGTAGAGAACAAATGCATCAAGGTCGACAACATGGGAGGGAAGACCAAACTTTCTTTACTCGGCCGCAGCTCTGTTGCACCAAACCCGCAACTAGCCAAGTCTTGGACATCTGGTAGGATCTGAACAATTTACATTTCAGAAACCTGGATCCCCAAGCAACGGACCTACATCATGGTGAGCTCGTTTAACCCCCAGCCAGCTCGCCATAAATCGGCAGATGAAATCCAAACTCCATCGCTCCCCAGCCTTCCCCTCTCCGTGGGTTCATCTCAACAAGGCAAGCAATTCAATTAGTGAAGTCTATACATATATATATATATATATGCAGGCGTCTGAATTTCGCGGAGACAGGGGAGCGGGCAGGGCAGGGTGGAATCGTATGGGAATAAGTGCAACCGGCACTCAATTCTGATACCAACACCAAGTGTGACTGGCCGCATTTATCTGTGTGAATTATCATGATCGGCCAACCCAAACACTCAGTCACAACCCCCCAGTGGAGGCCGACATACGTACTTTGCACAATCCAACAACCCAGTTGCGGTTGGCAAAGAGTCACTCCAACATTCCCGGGCGGCCTAACAAGCGCAACGAAGAAACAGCCTGTAGGTGATTGATTTCGGTCTGCCTCTAAATGGGGAATCCTCACGGATTTTGACTTCCTCTTGGTTTTCCTTTGAAGCATCCTCCAAAAAGTGTGGTAAAACTGTGGTCAAGGGCCATTTAATGACATTCCCCACCAAGAACAAGTAGCCAAAAGGATACCTCATTCGGTCACAAGAAACCCTGCAGTCAAGGCCTCCCGGCCTCACGAACAACGTGCAGGCCAGCAGGCTGCCAAGCGCAGCTAGCACTGCAATGCCCATGGCGTCAGGGTGGAAGCAGATTGCAAAGAAAGGGCCCAGGCGCGGTGACACTCTCCGCAACGGGACTTTTGATTTAAGGATCTTTCGGAGTGTGCTTGGGCCCTTGGGACTTTAGATGCCGAAAGAAGTCGCCACGTTCGAGGGGCCAATGGAGCAAACTGCATCATCCAAGATAGTCTCTGTGTCCGCTTGGAAGGTACACGATAGATTGCCTGCAAGGAGGCAAAATGACTCAAGACTTTGAGCCTCCCATGTGCATTGACGTCGCAACCTCCGCAAAAACCGTCAAGGCCGGAGGCCCTTTCTTGTCTTGATCGCGCATATTGAGCCACTCTGGGGACTCTGGGGTGGGTTTTTGGTCTGGGTCCCATATTAAAGCACCAGAGCGAAGCCGGCAGCTTTTGGGAAACCGCGGAGAGTTGAGCTAAACCGATATGTGACTAGAGAATTGGGGAACAACCCAAGAGACACCCAACAATAACCCACTTCTTGCGTGGATTGGAGCAATTGAGGCCAGACTGCTATTTGCCACACATACTCCCAAACAAGTACTCACGCAAAGATAATGATCCTAGCAAAAATAGGATTGGAAGCCGTTCTGAGGTTGAGTCCATTGTTCGAGACGGATTAAATAGAGGTCCCAACGACCTAATCATCCGCACTTCCAAACTGGTTTCACCTTCCTGCACCCATGTAAGCGCTGTACAACCCCCCGGTCCCACAAAAAATAACAGAAGCAAGAAACAACAAACACGGCTAAGACCAGTGAAGACCCCTGGCCTTCAGCCGTCTAATCTCATCCTCCATGGCCTGAACGTCTGGGAAGGGTATGGGCGTGCCTTCGATGCAGTAGATGCATTGGATGCACACATGGCTATGGGTCAAAACCCCGTACCCCCAGTGAACATCCAATCCCCACTAAAATAGACTAAAATGGGTACCCCAAAATTGTACCATTGGTTTTGACCCACAGCCATGTATGAACATGGCCTTAAGCAAAATTCGTGGACGGCCACCACTGCTGGAAAGAGGGGAGCGTTCGCTGAAATCAAAGGCTAAATGGAATTCCCGAGCCCCGAAACGAAACCTAACAGGCAAGAACAATTCAGGACACGCTCGAATCGCAACCCGCCCCGCCTGTTGGGGGCCTTTAACAAACATGGGACAGGAAACAGGAAGAAAACCTGCAATTTAGCATACATGTTGCTCGGCTTGCTGGGACTTCGACCGTACTGCTGGGTCTTGAAGTACTTAAAGTAGAAGGTCCAGCTATCTGCGACGCTGCCTCCCTGGCTTGCGTCATCGTTTGGTGGGTGCCCTCCTAAAAGTGGCACTTGGTACTTGTGAGACCACTGGGTGTGCAAAAGACAACAAAGACAACAACATGGTTGTGGGACGTTTACATTTCTGTGATACCGACAATGGCAATCGCCATGACTACTTTATCACTTTAGAGGCTTGGCCACTCATCCAAAGTAGCTCTAAAACCCGATCTCCCACAACCATGGCTGGCTGGTGCATGAAAGCCTCCGTTTTGCTAGTTTGCTCGTTGTTTTGCGGTAACACAGAAAGCCAATTCATGTGCGATCCGGCCAACCAAAACCAGCCAAACGAACAACCACTTCAGCCGGACCTTCCAACCCCCAAACCTGTGTTGTTGACCTCTTGAGCCGGTTGGCCCATCAACAGGTTTTGGTTGGCCCGAGGGCAGCGGCCTCCAGCTCCTTCTTAGAGCCGGTGTCCTCGTTCCTCACCTGCTGCGCCGCTCGCAGCAGCTCCTTGGCGTTTCGCCGCTAGAACCAGAGTTTGTCCCCGGGTTTGACATGATAGCTTCCCCCCGGGCTTTCCCCCGGGCTACCGTGGTAAATGACGCTTTCCGCGGGAACCTTGGAGATCTGGGAATGAACCGCGGACTCAGAAACCACAACGGATCGGGGGTGGGGGGCAGGGGCGGGCGTTGTGTTAGACCCGGGCCTTCCTGACAAAACCCCCAAAGACCAGGAGAAAAGGGAACCTCTTGTACACATGGAACAAATGGGAAGTTGACCTGTTTGGGAATATCTGGGCAACATATGACACTTCACCAATGGAAGTAGGGACCCGCTTTTCCGGAAAAGGACCCTTTATCACCGAACAAAAAAAAAAAACTCGCTTGCTCAAAGTGCCTGAAAACATGGATTGACCTTTTTGGAACCTTGAATCAAGGGAGAAAACCACATCTGGGTTTGTCTACATGGACCTGCAAATTCGAAATGGGCTGAGATCAATGTGAAGATTGGTCGATGACCAACAGGTGCCCTTCCGAGTGATCAAGCCTTCCAGTCGCAGTGGCCCTAGGACAAAGGGAACCGAAAGCCGGAGAACCTTTTTGGGACCTTGACTTATCATGGGCCAAACCCGGGCCATCCACAAGATGTTTGGACCAAGAGAATGAACCGAGGCCCAGAATACTAACCCAGGATTCATAAACCCCAGATTGATTTTCATCGGGGGTGCGTCAACACTCGCCTAAAATAGGATGATTCATCCGGATATCATGATTGGCAAACCCAAAACACAGCAACCCCAGTGGTGAGGGCACTATACTTACACAGGAACCCAGCGGTTGGGAAAGGCTCATTCCCACAATCCACTCTGGGCTGATCAAAATGGAGTGTTGGCCAAGCCCAATACATAATCACTATTGGAAGGCCAGGATCTAAAGGGACCAAATCCTTTCGCAACCCCTTGGGTAAGAATCTTGCGACCTGACTGACAGCCCAGTCCTCCCTATAGGCTCATTCCGACATTCCCTCTGAATGAACATCTAGATTGGACTCCCTCAAAATAGTTGGTTTCCTCTTCTCTCGTGGTTTGCCTTTGAAACAACCCCCAAATACAAGATGTTGATGAAAGAAGAATGGGTCTGTCTGTCGGTCTGTGTATCTGTCTGTCCGTCGTTCTGTCTGTCTATCTATCTCTGTATCTATCTATCTATCTATCCATCCATCCATCCATCTATCTAATCTATCTATCTATCTATCCATCCATCCATCTATTTATCTCTCTAGTCTATCTATCTCATCTATCTAATCCGTCTACTGACATGTCTAATCTATCAAATACCATATAATCTTCTCTATCTATCTACCTGGAGACTCACTTAACCCTTATTTTTGGGGCCACCATGTAAAGAACACACAATCTTTGTGGAAACGCCTTTAAACAAAAAGACAGAGACACATCTTCGTGTTTTTTTGTTGGTCAAACAGTCCCATCAGCTGTTTTAATGCTGTTTTCAAGATAAACAGCGTCCTTTGGGCGTTTTGTTTGATGGGTCCCAGTAGAATCCTCAGCTCCGGCTCCTGGTTCTCCGCCTTCACCTTCCGCAGCTCAGCCTCCTGGAGCGAAACCGAAAGAGATGGTTCGTTGAGGAAAACGGCGGGAGAACGGCAACATGGGACCAAACGGTCCGGCATTGTTTAGCTTCTATTTTTGCCAGTTGTTGGCTTTTTTCTGCCCTGCAAGTGGCATTTGTTCACCTTTGCTAAGCAAATCCGGAGCTCGTTTTGGAAGCAACACTGGCAAGTTTCCTCGCAAGTTGGGGCCCTCCTTGTGCTTCTGCAACCGCCCAGCCACGGGCTCCATTGCCGTTTTGGGCCCCAGGGCTCCAGACCCCCGCCCTCGCTCGCCTGGTGCTGCGTCGCCTGCATCTCCTCCTCCTCCGCGTCGACTTGGACCTCGCGCTCCAGGCCCGCCACCTCCTCGCGAGGGACCCAAACCACCACCAGCCTCCCCCCCCCTCCAGGCACGGGTGACTTGGGTGTTCAAACCAGCTTAGGTCATGACCACGGTAACTGGGGCAATTGGGGTTGTCCCCTTACAATGTCTACAACCTACCAAGTAGCCTGAAGGCCCAACTAGGGGCTTGATAAGCCTTGAAAGGGATAAAGTTCCTACTCTGAGATATGCAGGCTCAGTTTGGGGCTTAGCAAGCCGTGTTGGGGGACATGAGCGTACTGGATGGGGTTTTGCCAGCTCGCTCCGCTTGGGATGCGCAAGAAGCTCGGGGAGCTGCGACGTTTGCGTGCAACTTTCTCCTGTAAGACCCAAAAACAAAGCGGTACCTGGCGCCTCCGTGACCCTTCAAACGTGGGGCCGCGACCCTTTTCCTTTAAGTATCCCTTTCATGGAGACTCCGTTTAGCTCAGTTTCTACTTGAGAAAAGCTGGGAAAAAAGCTCAAACCCCCCCCGTCACCCCTAACGTCTACAGTGCCGCCAACCGCTTGCCACTCCTCCGCCTGCTGCTGGCTGCGAGCCTCCCGCGCCTTGCGTGCCAGACGCGGAGGTGGTAAAGAACAAGGCCAAATCAAACCGCCCAGCAAAAACATCTACCAACACCAACCAAGAAACCAACCAACCAACCAACCAACAAACAAACAAGCAAACAAACAAACAAGCAAACAATCCAGCCAACCAGCCAACCAACCAACTGACCAACCAAGCAAGCAAGCAGGCAAGCACACCAACCAACCAACCAACCAACCAACCAGCCAGCCAGCCAGCCAGCCAACCAACCAACCAACCAATCAATCAATCAATCAAAAAAAAACAAGCAGGCAAGCAAACCACACAAACAAACTAATAAACAATACCAACCAACAAGCAAACACACAACAACAAACAAACAAACCAAACCAAACCAAACCACACCAAACCAAAAACCAAACAAAAGACCAAACCAAACCAAAAACCAAACCAAACCAGGCGAAACCAAACAAAAATCCAAACCAAACCAAACCAAACCAAAAACCAAACCAAACAAAAGACCAAACCAAACCAAAAACCAAACCAAAGAAACAAAACAATTCAAACCAAACAAAAATCCAAACCAAACCAAACCAAACCAAAAACCAAACCAAAAACCCAACCAAAAACAACCCAAACCAAACCAAACCAAAAACCAAACCAAAGAAACAAAACAATTCAAACCAAAAACAAACCCAAAAAGAAACCAAGCCAAACCAAACCAAAAACCAAACCAACAACCAAACCAAAAACCAGACCAAACCAAAAACCAGACCAAACCAAACCAAACCAAAAACAAAAACAAAGCCCAAACAAACCAAACCAAAAACCAACCCAAAAAACCAAAACAAACCAAACCAAAAACCAAACCAAAGAAACACAACAATTCAAACCAAAAACCAAACCAAAAAAGAAACCAAACCAAACCAAACCAAACCAAACCAAAAAACCAAACCAAAAACCAAACGAAACCAACCCAGAAACCAAACCAACCCAAAAACCAAACCAAACAAAAAACCAAACCAAACCAAAAACCAAACCAAACCAAGCCAATCAAACATCAAGCATCAGGCGCTGCTTTTGATCGATCTTGACAAAAGCGATTTCGCGCCTTCACGCAGTCCATCAGCTCCTGCCGAAGCTTCGCCAGCCGTGACCTGGAACTGTCTTTGGCCATGGGGGGGGGTCTCGATATGGCTGTGGGTCAAAAATATGTACCGAGAATGGAACCCTGGTAAATGGAAACATGGACTAAAACCTGCGGTCCCCTGGTGGTTTAATTTTAACCCATACCCATATGGACCCTGTTGTGGGTGTCTGGAAACCCCGTATGGCGGAGGTTTTGTCGCCCCCCGCGTATTTGACCATGCTTGCCTCTGTGACCTGTGTGATCATGTTTGTCCGGTCAAAGGCATAGGATCCAACGAAAAATAGGGTCCCAGGTGGTCTTGAAGGGACACCGAGAGGAAACAACCCATTTTGCAGGTCCTATATTTTGAGAAACATCCGAATGGCTATGAATCTCAACTAAGAATGCACCGAAATGCTTTGGGGCACATAAAGCCTCGTGTAAATGACCACAAGATCCTCACTGGGTTCCGCTTTGACGATTTTCCCAAAAAGAGGCAAAGCGAATTGCTCTGACATATGGCCCGGGCAAGCGTTATGTTCGCCTTTGTTGAGAAAATTGGGAGGCCAATGGACACATTCTACCAACCTGACCAGTACGATTTACGTAGCCCCACCATCCGTACCAAAACCAGGGAGTAATAGAGTAAATATATTTGCTAATCTGGCCAACTGCTGTTGCTGATACATTTGATCTCTGATTTAATAACTGCGCATAATATTTCTCGTATAAATCTATGTACACGTGCATATCTATACATACATACAGAACAGGGTACGTTTCAAAATAGGGATTCCCAACAAGATGTGGTTTTCTTTTTGAATTCCCTTTTCACCAAGCTCAACGGCAACCTCCAAAGCACATGCCCACATGTGTATTCTGCAACTACTTCGTAAGAGCGCAGCACACAACGCGAGTAGAGCGTGCACACCCCGAACTGCTCCCGAGTGGATTCCCCTAAACTGGTGGTTGTCCAGTTGGTTCCCATTCAAACAACAAACACATATCTATATATATATAGAGCCACGTCTACGCATTACATTATCACCTGCCCTCGATGCCTGCTATAACTGGAAGCAATGGGGGAAGGGGTGGAATCCACTACATCTAAGGTCCACTTCGGATTCATCTGGGCCGCACTGGGTCACCTTTTGGTACATGTAAATAGATTCCTCATATTGTCCTCCAAGTTGTTCAGAAGCTACGATTCAGGACCCGAAACAAAACCAAACCATAGTTCATCCAAAGTCAGCTTACAAATTGAATTCCAATTGCAAAAAGAGTCGGTCTTCCTAAAATGGTCGGTGTTCTATCGGTGTCCTTTCAAGTACGATACCAATCAAAAGGGGTGCGTTTACGCCATTTTGAGAAACTCTTGACTGAGGAGTCCCTGAAAAATTAAGAGGTTTACATCACCATCAATCGCTTCATCCTGCAGAGGAAATCGCTTCAACCTGCCTACAGCCATTGCCGCATTGGGAACCCTCTTTCAGCTGGAGGCAAGCCTTGGCTCAAATGTCTGCCATATGTCTTGTTTCGGCTTTACATATTCAGCCTTGACAAGCCACAAAAAAAGAAGCCCAAAACTGTTGGTTTACCACAAAAAATGGTCCAAACCCCAAAAGTGCATGACTAAAGTCCGAGTTCCGCTGAGTTCCGGAACTCATGAGGTGGAAACGGCCCCCCAGAAACCCAAAGGACGCCACAAGCTGAGGCCAGCCGCTTGCTCGCTTGCAGCTCCGCCTCTTTGCCAGGCAGCAGACCTCGAGCCAAGTGGCCGTGGCGGCGCTTAGCCACCTGGAAATGGAAGAAATGGCCATGGGTCAAAACCCAAATCGTACCCCCAGTGAACATCCCAATCCCCACCAAAATCGACTAAAATGGGTGGTGCACCTATCCCAAAATGGTACCATTGGTTTTGAACCATGGCCAAATGGATCTGAGGAATTGGGGAAGCTCCATTTGTTGACTTTTAGAAACCCACTACAGAGAATACAGGAACTTGGATTTCCCAAATACCCACCAAAAGCCAAGGAATCTCCAGTAGAATGTCATGAGTCATGCCCCAAAAGGGTGGTCACGTCAAAAGCGATTCCTGCAAACACTGTGGCTTGCGAAGGAGTAGATACCTGCATTAACTCCTCTCGGTGGGAGGGGAAGGGGAGGGTTACAACTTCACCCTCCACCCAACAAATGTAAGACACGCGGTTCGCGCAAATGGGATGGGGCGGCGGACTGTTCGCAAACCCAAACCACACCGGGTGTGGCAGGTATTGAGGTGCCTGAAAGTGCAACAAACTCTTGAACGTTGATGGCTATTACCCCCCGCTTGAAAGGTTTAACTCAGGTGAGTGGCAAAAATCAACATGCTATCCAAAGTCCCAGCGTGGTTCCCCTCTGAGAAAAATCTTCAACGAGTCAAAAGGGCATTGTTATTGCTTTGTTGCATCTACGGCGACCCTCGAATGGAGGGGCCTGCATTGGACTGTGCTCCTCCAAAAAGGTTTTTTTGGGTCCCATGACTAGGGCATGCAAAATCACATGTACCCGACCGAAGGTGCCTTGCAAGGAGAATCCTTGGGCACAAGGCGGCACCTGGGGGGGCGACATGGACCCTTTGGACATCAAGCTTGGGGATGTCTTGTTCACCCATTTACGTGTTTGTTTCTACATTCAAGAAACACAGCTATCAAACCTCATGGCCATTTCAAAGGTACCAACCCTTTCCCTTCTATCTCCTTCTGACCCGTGTCTTTCTCTCAACAAGGCTGTGTCGCTGTTTTTGGGGGACCCACTATGGTGGTGGTTTTCCTTGCTCCTGGCTCCTGTAAGACCGCCAAAAACGGGGGCACCACAGCCTCACCAAAAGACGGGCACCCTAAAAGGGGCGCTTTGGACCCCGTCCGGGGTCCCGGGGACCCGGGCTGAGCTTCTCCCGGTTCCGGCGGTGCCGCTCGAGGCGCGCGCGGGTGCTCTGCATGCGCTCCACCTGAAGCACCGAACGACGGGATTGGCCACAAGTAGCCACAAACGAGTGGATTCCCCGCTTTCTGGGTGGGGCCAAAAAAGGTCACCACACTTTATATATACCACGCAAATGGTCTCAAATGGTTCAAACCCACACAAACACAGGAACTCAATAAGTGAGTGTTTGGGTGTCCTTTTCGATGTCCTTTTCCTTTAGGCTGCAAACAAAACATCACAGATTTGGTGGTTTCCTTATTCCCCCCCCCCGTTGGTGGCTTTCAAAATCACATATTCATTGTATTTGGTCCATAGGGGTGTTCCCACGGGTTGGTCAGGCGAGTTTGCCTTGGTACTTGGTAGTGTATCCTAAGAGGGTTTCTCAACATAGCGGTCTGTTCCTATGGTTGGTCCCTTTTGGTAGTATATCCTAAAGGGTACCCTCCCTCCAACAAGCATTTAAGCTGACGACCAGGCGTTTTGGAAGACTACTGTCCAGGGGTACCGCGGCCCCGAGAGATGAACAACTGCTGGGAGAAACTACGGGCAAAGGGTTCCCTTTAATTTCCTGAGGTTTCCCTTCAGGGCCCAATTGTCCTTTTGACTAATAGGTACCCGAGAGTTTCCCTGGATATTCTCTACCTTTAGAATAGTAGTGAGGTTTGGTTGCGCTACCACATATGCGTGAGAGGTTCGACATGGCCATGAATTTGAGTGTATCCACCCTCAAACATGTTGGTGGGCATAAATCGCTCATGCAAATGTTGTCCACCAAAAGGTCCCTAGTTGAAATTCATGCTCGGATGTCCGCTGGGGTTTAGTTTCGTGGTGCATCACAACGCATCGAGCCATGGCCTCAAAAACAGACAGACCCAAGTGGACAAACTCACTTCACTGCCTGAGGATGTTGTTTGGAAAGGTCATTCCAAATAAGTGGCCGATGGCCAATAGGGTGTTTCTTGAAACAACGGTCCCTGGGCCCTTTCCGAAACGAACGACCTTGACAATGGTAAGTGTGTGTGTGTGTGTGTCGGAAGTGGTTTGTCACACTTTTTCTGGCCGACTCTTGATCTCTTACAGGATGTTGTTTTGCATGGACGGCCCACAAAGTGCTTGCCATGCTGCTGCTGACTTTGCTTGCCCTACAATACTTCTGGATTGCAACCCTGGGCTTCACCGGCTGATGAGGCAACTGTGCTTCGTCCTTTTCCATCCTGCAAAGCTAGGTTTGACCACTCTTCAAGATTTGCGTGCGTTTGCACTGTCGTGCGTTCGTTTTGCGTGGTTTTGCGCTCTGTGCGGCATTGGTGGGTCAACATCCGCGCAAACAGCAAGGAAACGTCAGACTTCAAGGCCACTTCCAATGATTGAGGATCTGCTAAGTGCCTTGAGCCGCAGGCTCAGCTACCCTCGAAAATGCTTCAAAAACAAATAGACTCTCTGTTCTCATTTTCGAAATGTGCTTGTGTGCTCGAGTGTTGAAGGCCACGTGCCGAGAACGTCTTGACTGGTGTGGTTGTGTGCCATGTTGTGTGTTGTGTGCGTGTGTGGAGTTATCTTACAAACATCCTGGGGCCAAATGGGGAAGCTGGCAACCACACGGGAAAAAACTTTGGGCCGCTAAAGGGGTTGACATGTCTTCAGCAGAGTCTGGCGATGCAAAACGAAGGTCCGGGCAGCCAGAACGCCTCCAATTGCTGCAAGTCGCCAACTGAAAATAAGGGATCACCTTCCCTTGTGTAGGATCGTTATCATGGATGAATCCCCACCCCCAACTGACTCGTGAAGACGGTGGGGATATGGATGAGCTGGGTTTACCCAAGGCGACACTCAATCAAGCTCCAACCTCCCTTCCGAGGAGCATCGTGCGCCGCAAGCTCCGTGCTAGCTTCCTGGCAGAGGGCCAGAAGTGGCACCTTGAGAGGTCCCTGGATTTTACCAGGGACCCTGCAAACCACCGAGCAAACCAGGAAGGGCCCTTTGTCAAAGATAAAAATCAGGGACCCTAGACACCCAGAAGACCCAAACCTAACAGCAAGGCGCTGAATCAGTTTGGGAGGTGTCAAGGGTCCTGAATAACAATCCGCTCACATGCCAAAGTTCTCCCTATAGTATGGTCATAATGAGGCCTTAGTAAGGTGTGTGTTTGGGGCAAAATGCTCGAAGGCCTTGCCGAAGGAATCTCCCGAAGGTGTCCGGACAAGGCCGTTTGGAATACAATGAGAAAGCATGGAATATCTAGCAACTGTTCAGCCCCCATTCTTTGAAACAGTCCTTCTTTGCAACGCAACAACAAAAAACACTACATCTTTGAAGTGTCTGGCAATCTGTGCAAATAAAAATGTTCTGTCCTGCTCAAGTTTTCTTCAACATCCCCAACCGACTTCCACAAGGGGCTCCACCTGCGCCATGTGATGATGCAACATTAATCAGAGCTTCTTGAATGTAAGTAAAGACAATATGTGTGCTAATAATTCAAACGTACTGCACATATTGCTAATCATGTTTAAAACAAGGGATACTGTGGAGGCCTGCGTGTTGGCTTCTAAAAGGGAACCTTCTGGAGCTGAAACTAGGATCTTGGGAAAATGGCCTATACAACAGCCCGACGATTCATGTAAATGCCAAACAACATTGATTCATGTAACTCATACTTGCCATTCTACTGAAAGTCCGCATCCGCACTAGATGCGTGATATACTATCTTAATTCCCCATGAACAGAAAACAACATATAAAAAAAATGTATATATATAGTATATATATATATATTAGGGGGAGAAAAACAACGATCCCCATGAAGGACACCTTCACGTCGCAACCCCCCCCATAAAGACGTCGGCTCGCTCGCTGGCCTGGTCTGCCGGCTCCGGCAGCTCCTGGGCGAGGCAACGCAGGCGCTGCGCCAGGACCAGGGCCGAGTCCAGCAGCGGGAGGTCCTGAGGTCCCGTGGTTTGGCAGTTCCGTTGAGGGTCTGGGTCGAAGCAAGACGAGAATGGTGTGGGGGTCTGGGTCGAAGGGGGGCCAGAATGGTGGAGATTGGATTGTTTTCCCTTAAACAACAAAAATGGACCAGAATGCAGAATTGAAAAAATAACAATCTGAAAAGGGGGCCCTCAAGAGCAGTATGGTGGAGATGTGTTGGGTTTCGAATTGAAAAAAACAACTGAAAAGGGGACCCTCCACAGTGACACACCAACCCTGATTGTGGACAATTACCAGTTCTGCGACACCGAAGCTTCAGAAACCCGAATAGGTGTTGGTTATAACCTGCAAGGCGTTCTTGTAGCGCTTACAAAGAGCTGCTGAGGTTTGGTTCCTAGTCTTTGAGAGTTCTCCAAACAAACAATGTTTGGCGGGTTCTACCCTCACACCAACCAGGACCCACGACATGCATGCTCCCTTTTAGAGGGAGATTGTGTTCCAGGAACCCCCAGCCAGGTTCCATGTTAGTGGGTGGAGACCCCTGGACATGATTGTGGCAACATGGGCCGCCCACTATGACTAGTTCGTCACTTCAAGTTTATCACTTCAAGGGGATCCCTTGGCATCACAGAAAGTTGCCTGACAACCCAACCGTCCGTAATCATGAATGTTGACATTTTGCAAACCTCTTGTTTCCAGGGCCGGTATCATGGGAGGGTTGACCCAGTTTAAAAGCAAGCCTCTGGTTGTTAGGGTGTCCCGAGTTCCTCAGTCTGTAGGTTTCTTGCTTTGATGGACCAACCTTTGGTTGGGACCAGCTGGATAGAAGCAGGTGACCTCAGGCTTGGGTAATAGGCATTAACTAGCAACAAAAATTTAAAGCTACACTCCTAAGTTTGTAGAATCATAACCTTTTCCACCAAGGTCGCGGTGACCGTATCGGGAATATGACTGGTGCACCTTGACCAACAAACAGAAGACAAAGCAGCCATATGCATGGTTGATATCAAGCAAAGGTTCTATTTTAATCAGCTCCAACAAAAAACAACATGGACCCCCAATGAAGGAACTTTCATGCAGCCAAAGAAAACTCCTCGCACACCGAAACCTGGATGCACTTGCAGAGTTTTTTAGGTGGTTGACAAGCCGTTATACCCACTTTTACGCCCTAAGAGGAGTTAACCTCATTGGCCGAACACCCCGCACCACCCAACCCGTGCGCCTGCGACTCATTTCTTCTCCTCTCTGGCTGATCCGGAGAAGCTTGCTCTACCCCTTCCTGTTTTGCCTCCTCCTTCTCTTCCTCCTCCTTCCCTTCCTCCTCCTTCTCTTCCTCCTGCTCCTCCTCCTTTTCCTCCTTCCATTCCTCCTCCTTCCATTCTTCCTCCTTCCAGTCCTCGTTCCATTCCTCCCTCCATTCATCTTCCTTCCATTCATCCTCCTTCCATGGATCCTGCACACTTGCCCAAATATGCTTTGGACAAACACATTGGACCCGGCGTGTGCGGCCGCTTGAAGGGAACCCAACAAACAAGAGCAGCCTGCCATATCGGACTTCCACAAGAATCTTCTTCACGGGGCACCAAAAAGTAACCCCCCCGCATGCGATTGCATTTGCCCACCAAAGTTGCGAACACCGAATGAAACCCCTCCGCCTACCCCACAAGAAAAGGTTCCTAGGACTTTCTGATCAAAGGGTGCTGAGAACCTTCCTCGGGGCAGGGGTAGGGGGGCAATGTCACTCCTTGCCCAACCGAGCCAGATTTAGACTCCCCGCAAAAAGTGGCTTGTTTCCTTGTTGAAAGGGAACAAGAGGAAAACCAAGATGTCAAACTTGGATGGTCCGGGACTTTGCTAAGTGGTTAGAGACCATGGCTATAAACCACCAAACCCATGGTTGCAAGTCCCGTAATCCGGCTGCCAGGGCACGAATCATTGTGGATCCGATCTGGAACTGACCGTAGATATTGAGGCAATGGACAAACATCTTAACTGGAAGCCCCTTTAAGGGACCCAACTAGGTCCTCTTCTTGCTCCTCTTCCTCTTCCGCTTGCTCCGCGTGCTCCTCCGCCGTCGTCTCCTCCACCTCCTCGTCCTTACTGCGGGAGCCCGCCCTGATTGGTTGGTGTGCCCCAAAGGCAAAGCCAAGTCCAAGCTGAGACTTCATGGTTTGGCTCCAACCTACCCCCAAGTAATCTAGGGGGCTATATGTCCTTTCAAATGGCCATGGAATTTAAGAGTTGGAACACCTCAGAACGTGGTTGGTGGACATAAATCCCAACCTACATTCTGTCCGCCAAAGCGTTACCCATTAGAATTCACAGCAATGTGGGTATGTGCAAAATTGCAAGCCCTAGCATGGCGGCTTTCCTTTTGGCTTCCCTTAACCCAGGCAAACAAGTCTGCCCTAAACCCTGCTCAAATGGTTGTTTTTGAAGGAATCCTTTTTGGGGTCGTGTTCAAGCAGAAACAAAAAAACAAAACCCAAATCTTGAGGGTTCCTATTTGAACACATAAAAAGGGCTGTTGCGATCATTCGGTTGGAGGCCCTGCTTGCAACTAAGCGTCAGCTTCCTTCTCGTTTCGCCAAGCTACCTCCTGAGAGTCCTCCACGCTATTTGCCTGCCAAACCGAGCTCACGCAGCCAACAGGCCACCCCTGGTTTCCTTCAAATGGCTACTTAAACAAAAGGAACCCATTCAAATGACCATATTGTCAAAATGGATTTCCTTGTGACCCTAAAATTAAACACTTTGACAATGGGGTCATTACCCAAAATAAAGGGGTCAGGGCCACCCATTTTGCAGGGGTCTTGGTTGAATAGATCTCAATGTATGCTGGACGCTCTAAATGGGTATGACTTTTTTACGGGAGGACCATTTGGTGGACACCATTGGGGTGGGGAGTCATGTCCACCAACCAGATTCTCAATTAACAGTCATAGCAAAGTCTTCCCACTAGGAACAAGCAAACCACTGCATGTGCCACAATTTACCAGGGTTTTGTGATTGCCTGGAGTCTCCATGATCCTTTAAGAATGGGATCGTTACAAAAGGGAGGTTTTCAAGGGTGGAGAATCCAGGTGGAGTTCAATCCCTTGCAGAGTTCAGCAGCGAATCAAGCAACGGATTCAGCTTTGCATCTGCCTTGTCGAGGCTTTGAAACTACTTCATTGAGTCCTTTTCCAAAAACCCATGTGGCCATGGAAACAAAGCGGCATCATGTTCTTGGTAGTAGACTTGAACAGGAAGCCCCTCAAAAACAATATGAGAAAAGGGACACCACTGGGGGTCCGGGAAGTTTACCAGCGGTATCCGGCCACTGCATAACCTTTGGACGTTCCCTCCCACATGATCCACGTACAGCATGATGTGTTCCCAAAAGCACATGGCCCTTTCTTCGTCCGCAAGCGAACGATGAGCAGCCATACAGTCCGTTGCGCACATTGTGGCTCCCAAAATTCCTGGCTAGCCTGAGTCAGGATGAGACGACCAGCCCTCCATTTCTTCATTTATTATCTCGGAAAAAGAAGAAAAACAACACACACACAAACCCAGGGGTGGTGTGTATTCCAACCAAGAACTTCTGCGTTTTTGCATGTTGGGTGTCAACAACTGGACCACAGGCTGCATCGCGTTGCGCCTCGGACTGGTCGTCCAGTGCTTCCGCCTCAAGGCTTGGAGCTGGAGGGTTGAGACCCGTGGCCATGGAAAAGCGCCCTTTTCGGTTGGCGGTGTTTTTTTGGATTCAACCCCCCCCAAAAAAAAAAGAAGAGCATCACTGTGGCTGGAAAGCGATGAAAGGAAACTCACCCAAAAACAAGGATAAACAACAAAAACATGAGTCAAGTACACACACACACAAGACCTGGTGTAAAAGGTCTGCTCAAGCCTCTGGTGAAGCATCACAAGGGTGCGCATTCGGATTCGGGGGACCGCGCGTGTCGACCAACCTGCTTGTCCGGCCCTACTACGCTTCATGTTCCCAGGTATTGATTGTGGCTACCATGGGCCAGTCCGTTGCGCAGTTGTTAAATTCCGAGCCTGTTAGCTCCCTAAGCATCATTAGTCATGGGGCCCTCCATTGGAGTGTTTTGGATCTCGATTGGAAGGGGTTAGACCAAAACACAACCTCTTTGGGGCGTCGTGCTTTCTTCTTGCGTGCCCAAAATGGGAAAGGCCTCTGTGAGTCACACCCATGTATCTTCTCTAGACAGTCATGCAACCAAGGCCAGTGGGAGTGTTGGCCGCTGCTCAATTGGCAGTCCAAGCCCTGGTGTCGGTACCATAAGGGCCCAAATGATTCGAACGGGTTTTGTGGTGATTTCGAAATCAAATGAAGCCGTGCTGAAACTCGTTAATGAGTGCAATTGTTCAGCCCCTCTTCTCAGACGTATTGAATAGAAACAAAAAAAAAGAACAACACAATGAAACCCACTGGGCAGCTGGGGTTCGATCTATGACGATATCCAGGGGATTTGTTTGGCACAAGGAAGCAGCCAAGGACTGCGGAAGGCTTTGTGCAAACAGTTTAATCATAGGATCTAGCCCTCCCTCGCCGAACCCCTAAGGCCCTAAGGCCAACCCCCCGACCCACTTCTCAAAACAACACAACAAGACCCTGATGTGGAGGAAACAAGGGGAGATCTTTCCCGAGTTTTGTCCTATTTAGCGGAAACCAGAAAAGGGGATGTTGGGGTCCGGGAGTATTGGATCCTACGATCAAAGGGCAACAAACGCTACAATATCCGAAGACTGCAAGCCTCCAACGCCACTTTATTTCGTTTGTTTGTGTACGGTTTCTGCTTTTCCGTCTGGGGACGGGGGGTGGTTGGCTGACTCAAGAGGGGTGCCCACTCAAAAAAAGAGGAAAGGGCACCACTGGAGGTCTGGGGATACCTTGAATCCTTTATATCCTGCAATTCTTCGCCTGCCGAATTGACTCGCAGCAAGTCTAGGCGGGTGTTCAGCAATTTGTCGATGATCAAAACACTCATCGTTCAAACAAAATAGCTCACCGACCCAACAGGCAAAAAGGAGAACTTGCTCAGATGGGAGGCTGTTTAAACAGAGCCCAGTGCATCCGGGCAAGCTACTGTAGGAAAGAAAGCCTTCGGGCTTCTTACCTGCACATTTTACCATTGGTTTCCTCATTTTGCCTGGAAACACTGAGATGGCTTTCACTTTTACGATCTTTTGCGAAAGCATGTTGACCCCAAGGATGACAACAAAAACGCCAAGCCGGACACAAACGACACAAAAACAGACTTCCCACTAAATGCCAGTGTCGCCCCTATAGTAGGTCATCAAACTAGCCAAACTCCTTTGGGCTTTTTAATTGATTGCCGTGCCTACTAGACCGATAAATGGGTTTGTGTCAAGATAGGGGATCCCTAAAATTGGTGGAGTGCCTTTTGTTCCTTTTCGAACTACGCCAAGAAGGGTGCCATGACAAAAAAGACACATCTGGAATGACTGGGCGCCCACAAAAGAACTGATGTGGGAAGTCCAGCAGTCGGAAGCCCTCCCCCAATTCCTTCATCTCTTTGCTAGAGGGTGGGCTTGCAAAATTAGATGGACAAATCAAACCAGGGTGTCTGTTTGCGGGGGTACTCTTAAAGGGAAACCAAGAGGAAAACTCATATTTTTTAGGGGGTTCATTGGAGACAAAGCCACAAAGCTACTGCTGAGGCATCGCCCTAGGGCCCAAACGTTCTCCCGCGGTGAAACCCCTCGCTCCTGGCACCGCAGTTGTTGTCTCCCCAAAAGAACATGCAGTGGATGGACAAAATCCCTTATTTGTGGATACCTGCCCGAGGAATAGGATCAACTGCTAAAGTAGGTCGATTGGATTGGCCCTTGGTTTGCGAGAATGTTTTTGGGGCCCTGTGGCTTCTGAAATCCAGCCAGCTACAAATGATATGTATGGTCGACCTGGCTGCCGTAAAGGGCGCGAAAGATTAACTAGTATGACCACCTGGCTTTTGTGTGAATTTCGTGAGTGCTCCCGTGTCCATGACGGACGTGGACCAAAACACCAAACACACGTGCGCACACGCACACACACACACACACCCAACTGGTTTTCCTGGTTGAATGCACAGTGCAACCCATCATTGTTCAACCCCAAACATTGTTTCATCTCTTCTACCATAATTCGGTAAAGGCCACAAATGCAAAATATGTCCAAAGATCGCAAGCCTCCGAGCAGGACAAGCTCAGCTGGAAGCTAGCAGCGAGGCGCGATACTGCTAAGGGGTCACGGTTGGAGTTTGGCTCCCTCACCTAAGGGTTAAGTGCACGCTCTCTTCAACCATCGTTATCTGAAGAGAAACCGCCCACTTTCAGGGCCAAGTGCCTGAGGAAAATGCGGTTGGTACAGCCAGGACTATGGAGTATACTGAACTTTGCATTCTATTGCGTGCATCATAAGTCGTTGAGCTCTGAATCCCCAAACAAATACTTGTTCCACTGAGAAGATGACACCAAACCTTCGCTGCCCTTGAGGCCACCAAGGACCCCCCCGCGTACAAATTGTCATGGATGAGCTCGTTTAGACCCGGAGCTCGTTCCAGATTCTCATACGAGTCATGCTCAAAACCACGAATAAAAATGGTCTGCTCAGAACCACGCATAAAAAATGTCTACCCATAACCATTCATGGCTGGGATTCTCCCTTACTAACCTTCATCTACTCGGACTTTGAGGACGCAGCTTAGCCGACTGTACAGGTCGTGTCATTACGAGGGCTTCCTGAGCCGCAAAACAACGAAAACCCGCCTGGAGCGGCGGCTCCTGCAAATGTGCCGGCTTGACAAAAATGGACGAACATAGACATAGCAACCACAAACACATACGGCGTAACAAAAAAATGGGTGGGCTCCCATTGGAATCGGTTTGTGGTGGCATATCATATTCTCGGGTACTCAAATGTATGGGAATGTGTTTAACTGGCGAGCCCCCTCGTTAAATGGAATAATCCTATATCTATTAATAAACCTTCCCCTAATAATAAAACCACCTCCAGCCGACCACCAAAATCGCCAATACTTACTGTAAACTAAATACTCAACCAACAGTAAACTCTTCCGAATTGGGACCCACTCAGCGAAACTCTGCGGATGTGCTTATTAGGGGTCACCAAAGGCTTGCCTTGCGTAACAAGGGTTTTATTTTTAGGGTCTCCATTGGGTTCCCTAGAGAAGGTGTCGTTTTGAAAGAAAACAAGGGTGCCTCCCTTTGAAAGTTCCGACTCGGAAATTTCAGTTTGAACACTTTTTCCTGCAAATCAAAGGGGTCCCCCTTCCCTATTTGATACCAGTACTAAGCAACGCAGTCTGAAACAGTTCTGGCCCAAAACCCGGGGAGCCCAATAACTAATAAAACCCTGCAGGGGGTTTTATTATTAGGGAGGCGGGGGGACGGTTTACTATTAGGGAGACAGGACTAAAAGGGAATCCAATAGGGGAGGTCCGTCTTGTGAGAATTATATGCATTAATGCCAAACAATGTTATTGTACAACAAAATGCGACCGTCAGATCGAAAGCGCTGCATCGAATGGCAGCTTGGTAAATGGAACCAAAGACTAACAGCTAAGTAACCCTAGCTCTTGAATTTTGAGCCACACCCATATAAAGGATCATCAAAGGATACACTCGACTGGCAGCCAGCCCGCGTGGAGAGTTGCACATCGAAAGCGCAGCATCGCACCCTGGAAGTCCATTTGAAGACAGCAACCTGCTCTGACGAAAACATATCAAGTCCTCCCACGCTTTCTGGAGCGCCCAGCGCGTCCGCCATATCGCAGCACAAGGGGCTTGGCCCGCCCACGAACTACCGCGGCAGACAGCAATATGAGTCACAACGTTGTCCAAACCATGCCCGCGAAGCATGCTGCCAGTCGAGAGCCACTCAAGACCGGCACACACACACACACACCCTCGCCCCGCAATCTGCCAAACCGATAGCGGACCATCAAAAACCGAATTCCACGGCGAACGTGTCAATATATATATATATATATATATATGTTTTTTGGGAAGCCCCACAAATGGTGCTGTTCCTTTAAAACCACCAAAAAAAGGATTCCCTTAGGCCCCTGTTTCAGGGTTCCAGAGCCATGGCTCACCAACCGTTTTTTCACTTGAGGCATGGTGCCCGAGACTACCTGGATTCCCCAGCCCCGTTCCGAAGACAAGATCAGTACGGCCATGGCATGTTTGGACGGGGCATGAAGATTCCAGGAACATGATCTTCCCACTAAACGTGGCCTTATCACCTGTTTGGCACAAAGAACATGACACCAGCAGGAGCATTCGCACTGAGTGGTAGATTCGGCCAGCCGTAGCCAAAAGTGGCGCCTTCCCTTCCAGTCCTTGAAAGCGAAGCCCACCGGCTCCTATCGCTTGCGGGGTGTTGCCCCCGAGTTCAAGGGCTTTGGTAACCCGGAGTCTCCATTTTGCAAAAAATGGGGCCACGGCTTCTTTCTCAACCCTGACCCCTTTCTTAACCCTGCTTTGGCCAAGTCTCAACTGTTGAACAGCCCTTCTGGCACTCTGCCCTTCCAAGCAAAAGGTCGACGTCTCAGACAGGACCTTCCCGGCCCGTGGGAAATCTGTCTAGCTCACTTTGAAGGGAAGCCCGTTGTCGGTATCGAAGAAAGTCTTTGTGCGAAAACATCACTAATTCCACAGACCAGAAGGAAGGAATCCCCGAGTAGCGGTCCTTGATGGGTTTTCGTTCGTTCCACCAACTTAGCAGGTGACAACCAAGGCTATAACTGTGGGAACTCGCAAGTTAGTCCGGCCTTTTACCTAGTTACTAAGTAGCCTGACCACCGAAGTATTCCCCTTTCACCCCTGTCATAGTTGGAGTGTCAGAGTCCACCTGTGGTTGGTCGACCTACCACGGTCATGAGTCATAAAGTACCTGGAATCTCCATGACCCTTCAAAGATGGGGACATCTTTCTTTTGGGTAATGACTCATTGTCAACGCCCATGAGACTCCAGGGTGTGAATCTTAAGGGTCCCGGACCCTTTGGCAAACATCATTGAGGTACTTCATGTCCAGCAACAACTAGGTCCTCCAGCAGAGAGGTTAGAATAAGAGTACCTTTTTTTTCCTGCAGTCTATTTTAGTACGGGAACCCTCCCCCAAAAAAGGGTAAAAGGGCACTACTGGGGGACCTTCACAACTTTTCAGGTGGTTCCAACCTCAACAACTTCCTCCAGGGCCAACCTTCGGTTGGCCCTTTGCACCGCGCCTCGTCGTCGCTGGCAATGTCCGCCCACGCACGGCGTTGCGCCGGCAGGGAGTCCCCCAGTCGCGACATGGCGGTGAAGGTTTCGAAAAAGCGTGGGGAAGGGGAAGGGAATGGTGGACCTGACTGAGCCCGAACTTCCCTTATCCTTTTCATGAATACGATCAATTTAATGAAGGCGTTTAAAAGAAGGGTTTAT